AGTGTTTATTTGCAGATGATAATCGATATGAGCATACAGTGTTATTTGTTATACCTTAATCGTCTGTAAAGGAATGAATATACAGAAAATAATAGAATTAAGTACGTCATAATGCTCATTTGCAAACTAAAAAAAACTAAGGAATGCTTTCTTCCACCTTAATGACTTAAGATGTTAGCAGTTTTGTTTTTGTCTTGAAAGAAAAATATTGTCTTTCATGCATGTGTAAGAGATAGTTGATAAAATGGTTGGATCTCATTGTTTAGAATCAGTTATGTTAACATAAATTTGGACCTTGTTTTTTTCCAGTATTTACTGCAATCAAATGGCAAATGTATATAGTCACAGAATAATAAGCTTACTTTTGAAAATGGCACTTTTCTGTAAAATAAGTGGATAATTTGTAAAAACAATAATGTTCAATATGAACTTCATCTAATGGTAGTAAAATTTGGATATCTCCATGCCTGTGTAGATTTCAAATTAAAAATTTCTAGGAAGGCTGACCAGACTAAACTTATGCCACAATGACATTTCATTTCTCAGTTAGCATTCGCATATGCCAGTTAGACAAGGACAGGGGACAACAGAGAATGACACCTTACTGGAACTAAAAGAGATAACTTATGGGAACCATAGACATATCTGTCATAGAAACTCAGTGAATTCTTTGTATTTTTTATGGAGAATTTTCTCTCTCTCTCTCTCTTTAACATTAATCCCTGGAAAATGTTTTCCAGTCAGATTTGTCTGAGAATCTGAAACAAACGGTTACATTATTTCAGTGATGTCCAAAATTCTATTGCATCTTCCATACTGTTCTTTCTCCATGTAAATGCTGAAAAGATAACCAGAGCAGAGTGTCACGAAAAATCAGACCAGGGTTGGGTGTCATTGATATTACAAAGAACAACCCACAGAGAGAAATAAAAGGATTGTGCCTCATTTCATTAGTGGTTTCTCGCACGTCACCCTTGTGGGTATGGTGACGGAACACACCTTATAATTACCTTGTAAAGTCAAGGTCTGAGAGTGATTCCAGCAGCTACCTGGGTCATGGTCTTTCTCATAATGAGCTATTCGAACTAAAAGGAAGGAAAGACAGAATGTGGGAAGGAACCCCAAACTGGACAAAGGATTAAAATTGCTTCCATTTGACATGCTAGTGTCTACGAGCTAGTGATTTTGGAAAACTAACCTTGGGGACAATTAACGTGCTTCAGGTAGAATGCCTCTTTCGATTGCATGTTGGACTAAATTAGACCACCCGTAAAGAAAAATCAGTAGCCTCCCTGATCACAGAACCATGAATGGGCAATTGTGTGCATTGAGACCACAAACAATTTGGCCATTTCATTGTGATTTTGTATTTAATTGTAATTTGGGAATATAAACGTGGGAAAAATGGTACCAAATGAAACTGCAATCTAAACTTAATCATAAGCCCTATTCCACGTGTTCAGCTCCTTAGGCTTTTCAAAGCTATAGACACATATTATATTGTCAAGGGAATCAGAAATCTAAGAGAGGCTGAAAATGTAGGATCGATCTCCCCGCAATATGTTAATATTGGAATTTTGCTGCTGTGAGTTCAAAGCTATGTGCCTGCACGCTTGCACAAACAACAAATCACAGCCTATTGTGTCTGGAGTTTCTCAGTTTTTTTTTTTCTTTGTTCGTTTTCTTAATTATATCAACTTGAGCATTAATGCAGAGGTTTAGATAATTACTGGTTGTTCACTAAATGACTGAAATCTACACCCACAGCAACACATTTAAATCATGGTGTCATGCTGATTCTCCCAAAGGCCTTCTATCAGGCAGTGTCTTAATTCATATCAATGCATTTATTCAACAGTATAGATACCAAAATTGGAATTCAGAATCCCACTTTGATGTTCCATTTTTATTTTCAGATGTATGTCTCTGCCTTGATCAGATTGGCTCAAATTTCTACGTTTCCACTTCCATAGAATGTGGAGATGTATTAAAAAATACAAAAATAAACTTTATTCCAGATATGTACTTATCCTTAAAATTAAAAATAACTCACATGAGGAAAATTGTTAGACATTTTTTGTGGTATAATAGTTTGATGGAACATAATTGTTTTCTACAGAAAACAGAATAATTTTATAATTCCCTCTAAGATAAATCAGGTGTTGCTAAATGTGAGTCTTTTAGTATAAATTGACATTATGATCTACTAAGCTTAGGCTTGTTTCTTTGTCGGTTATTTCTACCTTACAGGTTTTACGAAATTACCGAAATTTTCATAGATTATTAATTTCTCTTTGCTGTACAGATGACAGACTGATTAATTAACATAAATTGCATATTTAACCCTTTGATAGATTCCCAATTTTTCAATGCTGTGACTTAAGTAAACATGTCATGATTATTGATGGAGGACCTATTAAATGCAAGTCTGAAGCTTTATGATGAAATATAGATAGATGAAACAGAAAATGATCTACAGGAATTTGCACAATGAATAAACGTAGAGGTAGGAAACCAGAAGCATCCATCAGAGCAAAGAAAACTCTGAGCAAGTTCAGGGACAAACTATCTTCAGGAGAACTTAAGGGAAGGTTTAAATGGCTGGGCCATGCCCCATAGGATATGTAGGAGATGGAGGGAATTTATCAGAAGGTGATCGGATAAATGGAAAATGTGAACGTAGTAGTCTTTGTGCATTAGCCAGCTTGGTGCTTGTGGTTACTCTTGTAACTGCTTGGGTGTAGGTGTGGAATGAGGATCTTCAGTACTGGGCTGTTACTCTAGAGTGTCAGGTCATGAAAGTTCTGGAATCCTCAGTAGCTGCTGACACTAAAGCTTTCCACTGTAGACAAACTCCCTAAAATGAAAGGGTTCCAGCAGGACACTAGGTAAGAAGGTTGAAAACCAAATGGCCCTCCATTTCCTCATGATTATGCAATAGAATTTATTCTCTTTCCTTGTAGACAGCACTAGACCTAATTCAAGATGCAAATAATTTATAGCATGGCTTCCATCATATAAAGCACCACACCCTTTCTGAAAGCCTTACAAGCATTTCCAGCCTTCTATGTCACTTAGGACTTGTTTGTTTCCAAATGTTAAAAAGCTACCTAGCCTCAATCTGGCTTAGAGGAGAAAAATGTTAATTTATTAGAGCATTACTGGGATATTAAAATTTATTGCAAATGGGGAGAAACCAGATTAGGGGGATAGTAATGGTGCAGCCAGACTTTAAAGACAACTGGAACCAAGAACTCAAAGGGCATCACAAATCTTTATGACTGATTCTTTGCTTCTCTCTGGAAATGGGCTTCCTCCACATAGTGGGTTAAGATGATCATTTGCAGTTGCTGGAAGTTATGTCCTGAAATTCTCAGCACCGCCAGTGAGGGACAATGTTTCTTAATTCCACATTGAAAAGCCCAAGGATGAATTCTGATTGGCTCAGTCAACTCAGGAGCCTACAACCTGGGACAGACTAAAAGTAGATAAAACTTCACTGATGCCTGGTATACCAGATGATTGGAACACGGGTGAAGGACCATTCTCACGAGAGAATATGGGTAATGAACAGACAAACTTCACTCCCCACTGCCAAAAATATTTTCAAGCACCTATTATGTGCCAGGCATGCTTTAGATGCTGGGATTTCAGCAGATATACAAATTGCTAATTTTGATAAACAGGCACTTGCTGTAGGCAGAATATGGTCCCCAAAAGATGCATAAATCCTAATCCCTAAAACCTGGGAATATGTTACTTTACCTGGCACCTGATTTTTTCAACATTATGACTTAAGCAATGACTCCAAATGGCAAAGGGGAAATAAGATTGCAGGTGAAAATATGTGTGCTACTCAGCCGACCTTCAAACAGGGAGACTATGTCCTAGATTACCTGGGTGAGCCCACTGTGATAACAAAGACCCTCATGTGCAGAAACAGAAGGCAGAAAAGGAGACACCAGCCAGAGTGGAGCCATGGGAGAAAGATACACCTGGCAACTGCTGGCTCTGAGGATGAGAGAGAGCCATGAGCAAGAAATTCAGGCAGCCTCTGGAAGCTGGAGAAGACAAGGAATTGATCTCCCGAGAGCTCCCAGAGAACCACAGCCCAGCTGACACCTTGATTTTAGCCCCATGGCACTGTGACCTTCAGAACTGTAGAATAACAAATATGTGCTGTTTGATGCCACTTAGTTTCTTGTGGTTTGTAACACCCACGACAGAAAACTAAGAGTTTTTACCACCCTTTAATACTATTTGAAATTCATAATAAAAGTATATACTCTTACTGAAAAGAAGTCAATTGCAGAATTGTTTTGTTTTGAGCCTTCTGATCCCCAACCTATTTTGTGATTCTCATACAGCTGCTTCCCTTTCTACCTTAAGAATTCCAAATTAAAAAAAAAAATACTCTTTCCTTCTTAACACTAGGCACTTAAAACTTGCTGCTTAGTTTTCCTTTGTGCTCAGATGTTTTGCACATTTAAGGATCAAATTCTAGAGGGGAGATATCCAACCTTGCGTTCACCATGTTAATTCAGCCTCACACTGAATCGTACTGAAGGTCATATTCAAAACAACACTGATTTGACACAGGAAATTAATGGAGCCATTCAAATTTTCCCA